TTCTCCTTGGTCCCCCAGGGAGCTCCTACCAGAGAACCCAATGGGTGTTTGAGGCCACGGCCTCCACGCCATGCCCTCATGGGCACGGGCATGCCCCCCGTAGGAGCACGCACGCCTCCGCCGTTTCGCTTCGCTTCGCTTCGCTTTGGCACTCCTCTGCTACGCTTCGTGGCCCCGTAGGGAGATCCGCCGAACCCCCCCCCGGGGGCCATGCCAGATGGCGTCCCGCAGCCTCTTTTGGTCGTTGGGTGGCCGCGTGGGGATCCCCACCGCGAAGCCCCCAGGGGCCTAGGCTACGGGGCGTCCACAGCTCGCACGCTTCGTGGCTCCACGGGGAGCTCCACCGCCTCGCATGTCTCGTGGCATCTACCGGGTGCCCCAGGGAGCAGGGCCACGTGCATTCGATGCTCGTTCTTGGGACCTTCCTGGGGCCCACCCAACGGATCTGCTCGACTCAGGTTCGACTCGAGTTCGACTCAAGCTCGACTCAGATTCGACGCAGGTTCGGCTCAGGTTCGACTCAGGTTCGACGCAGGCTCGACTCAGGTTCGACTCAGGTTCGAATCGGGTTCGACGCGGCTTCGACGCACGAGTGGAGGGAGTGGCTCCAGGAGGGTCCCACAATGAGCATCTGACATGCCCCCCCCGCACATCGGTACATCTTACCAGCCTGGAACATATCCCTATCCCTATGCTGGGCACCTCATCATCACGATGCCAATCTTAGGGATTCCCTTATTTTTTGAGGGCGAATCCCTAAGATTGTCACCGTCTTTTGCGTGTCAATCTTAGGGATAGGGATACGTTCGAGGCTGGTAAACATCCCTCACCCGTCTCGTGGCCCCACGGAGCTCCACCGAAGTCCCCAGTTGGCGTGCGCTCACAGGTGGCCCCGACGCCCACTTTCCGCACACTCGAGCGCGCCGTGGCCCCACGGGGAGCTCCACCAAAGGCCCCACGGGGTGCGTCCACCTGCGGTCCCACCACCCGTTTCGGCACCCCTCACGCGCTTCGTGTCCCTGCAGGGGGCTCCACCGCAGGCCTCGGCGGCAGAGTATCGCATGCGGCCCCACGCCCACATCGGCACACCCCTCACGCGTTCCGTGGCCCCACAGGGAGCTCTTCCGGAGGCCCCCAGTGGCAGTGTTGTGTACCGCATGCGCTCCCCCCCCGCAAATTTAGACACATCCCGCACGCGTTTCGTGGCCCCACAGGGACACCATCCCATTTTGCGGCGCATTGCTTGTGAGGAGAGTGTCATATTGTGCGCTGCTCGCAGCTGCTTTGATAGGGTTTTTCGCAAGGCTACTTGGGTTTGGATTGCTGACAGCTTAACTTTGCGGTGGCGTTCCTGATTGAGGAAGCAGCCTAAATTGACGCATGCTTATACGATCGCTCTTCGCGTACAGAGACCTGGTGCCAGACGTTTAATTATCCCAGTGCGACCCTACATAGGAGTTGGAGCCCCTAGGAAAGCAGCATCAGTACGAACAGTAAAGCTAAAGCTAAGCTAAAGCTAAGTTAAAACTAAACTAAAGCTTAGCTAAAGCTAAGCTAAAGCTGAGCTAAGCTAAGCTCAAGGTAAGCTAAAGCTAAGATGAAGCTAAGCTAAAGCTAAGCTAAGGCTAAGCTAAGGCTAAGCTACCGCTAAGCTAAACCTGAGCTAAGTTAAGGTGCAGATAAGCTAAAGCTAAGCTACAGCTAAGCTAAAGCTACGGTAAAGGCTAAACTAAATCTAAGCTAAAGCTAAGCTAAAGCTACGGTAAAGGCTAAGCTAACGCTAAGCTTAAACGAAACTAAAGCTAAGCTAAAGCTAAGCTAAAGCTAAGGTGCAGCTAAGCTAAAGCCAAGCTAAAGCTAAGCTAAAGCTAAGCTACAGCTAAGGTACAGCTAAGGTACAGCTAAGCTAAAACTAAGCTAAAACTAAGCTGAAGCTAAGCTGAAGCTAAGCTAAAGCTAAGCTGAAGCTAAGCTAAAGCTAAGCTAAAGCTAAAGCTGAAGCTAAGCTAAAACTAAGCTACAGCTAAGGTGCCGCTAAGCTAAAGCCAAGCTAAAGCTAAGCTAAAGCTAAGCTAAAGCTAAGCTGAAGCTAAACTAAAGCTAAGCTAAAGCTAAGCTAAAGCTAAGCTGAAGCTAAGCTACAGCTAAGCTAAAGCTGAGCTAAAGCTAAAACTAAAGCTAAAGCTCTCAGGGGACTGGGGGAACCGCGGGGCGGGGACTGGGGGAACCGCCATGGGCGTGTAGCACTGCCCGGCCCCTTCCAGGCAGAGCCCTGTAGGGAACAAAGCAGTCGACCTCTGCAACCATATGTGATTCACAATACGTACGTGAAGCGTGAACAGGGGCCGACTATTCTATAGGCGGAGTGTCCGACGACCCCTTCTCCTTCATTACTACATTTCTGGGATCACGAACTGGGGTTTATCATTTCTTCGCAGTGAACCATGGTCGACAAGGCTTTTTGGTTCGTCCTCGAGACCTCCCATTCGCCCACATCGCATCCTTTTGCTCCTCCTCCTGACAGTTGCAGTGCAACATTTCAGAACATAAACCAGAAGATAGTACTCGCCTTGGGATCTCGCAGAGCTCAGCCCGGAACTTCAGCACCAAACCTTGCAATTGACCTCTTTGTAGGCTCGCTGCGTACGGTCAAGAAGAACAGGCCCAAGACGATTGAGAGCCACAGCAACCTTCGCAGAAGGCTAGGCCGACTCGCTCAACTCAGGGAAGGCGGAACCAGTATCAGCAGGCTCTATGCAAGAGGACTTCAGCAGGCAGGAAACTACGACACGGAGGTTGTAGGAGCTGATGAAATATAAGTGAGGGCTAACCAGTCCACTTTTCTTCAGGTTGCTGGCCCACGATTCACTCGATCTCGCTCCCTCAGCATTCTTCTTCCTGCTCCTCCACGTCCTCCACGTTCTTCTCCTCCTCCTCCTCCTCCTCCTCCTCCTCCTCCTCCTCTTCCTCCTCGACGACCCCACATGGAGTGTGGGATTGGCCCATGTTCGACTTGGGCCAACATCGCTTGGAAAGCCGCCATACGTGATGGGGGAGGTGTTACCTTGCCCGAACTTAGGGATTTCGTCGGCCCCATCCTGGCTTCCCCCCCTGAAGTGGTGGTCGGAATCGGGGGCCCACTTGGAGCGTGCCTGCTCTCGCTCGGTAGGCTGGGGTGCAAGACCACCAGCGCGTCTGAGAGTTCGGACAGGTCTGGCGCGGTTTTTTCCTTCCCTCCTTTCCTCCCTCCCTCCTCCTCGTCAGTTTTCCGCAGCGCTGCGGAAGGCATGGCGGGACAGGCTGGTGGAGCAAGCGAGCAAGCGGTTGGGGGGTGTAGAGGATCAGGCTTCTGTCTCTGCTGCCTACCCCAAGCCCTGCAGGGAGCCTCTATTTAAAAGGCTCTTGTTTTGAAGTCGGTCCCTAGTGCTATCATAGAGCAGGATGGGCGGTTGCAGTCATTGACCCTCGCACAGGTGATGTCAACGCTGTTCTTGCAGGCACTGTGGGAAAGGACATGCCTCAGATTTCTCCGGCAGCGGAATTTTGGCTGTGTATGTTGCGGTAAAGTTCGGAAGGAATACCACGGCCTTGATTGCTGAGTAGATTGGCACTTGCAAGCTGCATGCGCCAGGGATGTAGCATATGTTTGTTTTCCGGCCGTACGCTGCTAATGACACGTTGCGCCAGCTGGAATCGGAACATTGCTTTTATTCAGGCGAAGGCGCACCGAGATTAGCCCCACACGCCGAAGAATGGAGTCACGCCTCGGGGAACGCTGAGGCCGACCGCTGGGCGGAATGGGCGGCCACTGAGCTGTCGCAACCCTCCCCGGAGGTGAGGGAGTCGAGATCGCGCTTCCGGCTGCCGCAGCGGTGTCTCAGTTCCGTCTGTGAGGTCTGGCCAGGGTGGCCTCCGGTTGCCGCCAAGCCCGGGGGGAGGGTGCTCGGCATGCCCAGCAGGGCTGTCGGCCCCCAGTCGGGGCTGCATCCGCCCCGGTCTCCACGCCTCTGGCCCTCCCTCCCCGCCCCTCTGCGGCGCCCGGGGGCCGTGCAGTGTGCGACTGGACTCGGAGCCCGGGAGGACGGGTGTGCAAGCTGTGCATGACGAGGGCCCTCCTCGGAGGCGCGGAGAGATGCCATGCTCAGCGAGACGTGCACTCGCAGCTCCCCTCTCGAGACCCTTGCAGCCAGCCACGGACACACGTTAGCTGCGGTTGATTCTGAAACAGGTGAGAGCTTTCTCATTGCTCGCAGGCATTGCGCAGCCTATGCAGTGTCCAACCCGCGTAATTTGTGCAGTGTCTGTCCCAAGCGTTTTTTTGCTGTTGTTGTTTTTGTTCGGACACCCCGAAGAGAAGACCCAAGTATGCTGGGGAACAGATAGGTCAAGGCAAGCACCCCAAGAAGCCTGGGGTTAGCCTGTGCCCACCTGTTCCTTGCACCAGCTCCTGGCAAGTTTAGCAAAAAGGAGCAGCAGGAGTAGGAGCGGGATAGGTAGGGGAGGTACGTGGGTTGGGCGGAAGCCACGGAGCCGCGCGAGCGGGTGAAAGACCCCACGCGCGCGGCCGCTTCCGCCGACGTAACGTGGACGGAAGCCTCGGAGGCAGAGACTTTCAGGATGCATGCTGGTCTTCCCCCTCCTCCTCCTCCTCCTCCTCCTCCTCCCTCCTCCTCCTCCTCCCCCTCCTCCTCCTCCCCCTCCTCCTCCCCCTGCTCCTCCTCCCCCTCCTCCTTCCCCCTCCTCCTCCTCCTCCTCCTCCTCCTCCTCCTCCTGCTCCTCCTCTTCCTCCTCCTCCCTCTCCCTAACTCCGCCTCCTCTGCCGCCCTCTCCTCCCGCTGACCCGGAATGCTGCCGCCGCCTGTGCCCCCGCCGCGGCCGAGCGTTCCAGCGCCCGCGGCCAGCACCCGCGCGGAGTGCCTCAGGTGGCGGCCGAGGGCACCTTCCGGCAGCACGACTGGACGGTGAAGGCGGCCGTTCCTCACGGGGGCGTCCATGCGGGTGCTGTTTCGTTCTCGGGGGGCCATCGGCGACCTGTCGGCGATATATATATATATATATATATATATATATAGATATATCGCTGATTCCAGGTCAGTCTTCCCCCCCTTGAGCCGGTCCCCCCTAACATATCGGGCGTTGCCAGCACGGGTCCGCGCGGTGTCTTACTCCGCTGGGCCCGCCAGCAGCCTTCGATAGTGGCGAGCCCACCAGCAGCCCTCGAAAGTGGCGACAGTTTCGCAGATTGCAGCCCCCCCAGGGACGGCGAGGTCTCGCTCGGTTCTGCACGGTGCATCACTCCGCTGGACCCGCCAGCAGCCTTCGAAAGCGGCGACAGTTTTGAAGATCGCAGCCCCCCAGGCACGGCGAGGTCTCGCTCATGTCTGCGCGGTGCCTCGCTCCGCTGGGCCCGCCGGCAGCCTTCGAAAGTGGCGACGGGCTCGCAGATCGCAGCCCCGCAGGGACGGCGAGGTCTCGCTCAGGTCTGCGCGGTGCCTCGCACAGGACTGCGCGGTGTCTCGCTCCGCTGGACCGCCGGCAGCCCCCGAAAGCGGCGACAGTTTCGCTGATCGCAGCCCCCATGGACGGCGAGGTCTCGCTCGGGTCTGCTCGGTGCCCCACTCCTTTGGACCCACCAGCAGTCCTCGAAAGCGGCGACAGTTCCGCAGATCGCAGCCCCTCCAGGGACGGCGAGGTCTCGCTCAGGTCTGCGCGGTGCCTCACTCCGCTGGGCGCGCCTGCAGCCCTCGAAAGCGGCGACAGCCTCGCAGATCGCAGCCTCCCAGGGACGTCGAGGTCTCGCTCATGTCTGCGCGGGGCCTCTCTTCGCTGGGCCCGCCGGCAGCCCTCGAAAGCGGCGACAGTTTCGACGATCGCAGCCCCTCACAGACGGCGAAGCGAGGGCAGAGGGAGGGAGGAGGCGGGAGGAAGGACGCGACCGCAGTGCTGTATTCAAAACGAATACCCAACCCAGGAGGGTTGGGAATCATAACATTGTTGTTTAGAAAAAGCGTAAGACTAATACTCATAAGAGTAAGAATGTTAAACATACTACGAATACTATTTAAACAAACGCGACACATGATAATCTACATAATACCATTTTTATGAATATGATTAATGATATTCATAATGCTGCGAGTTCTTTTGATACTACACGTAATAGTATTATAGTATTACTCATACCACGGGTACATGTATCACTACTATGGATAATACTCATTATGGCAATCCGAATGCGAATATGAACAACAGTAATAATGCGATGCGTCATGTGAATAATAAGAATCGCCTTCTAATAAAAAAAACAGGGGGATCCTACTAATACTATATACTACATTAAGAATATGCATCATAAGAATAATACTGATAGTAGCACTTAAATCAATAGTACGAACAATCGGACATGCACTACGAATCGTATTAAGAAGAACAAGCGCATTTGTAATACGAGGACTATTAATAAGAAAATTGTTATTGTCAATCATCAGAAGAAGAGGGATAACAATAAGAGGAGGAGGGGGTGAGGAGGGTGAGGAGGAGGAGGAGGAGGAGGAGGAGGCGGAGGAGCAGGAGGAGGAGGAGGGGGAAGGGGACACATGGAAGCGCGATTGGCGGAGAGGAGGGGGGGCGCGCGAGGCGGGGGCGGGCGCGGCGAAGACAGGGGAACGGGAAGGACAGGAGGACGAAGGATGAGGAGAAGGCGTAACTCGAAGGGAGTCGGGTGGAGGGAGACCGACGGGGTCGAACAAGGATGACAGAGGTGGGGGGGGGGGGCACGCGTAGACTGCGGCGCAGACGCTACACGCTGGATGTCGTACGCTCCCGTGGATGGGTTGGGTGTTGGATCTGCGGTCGCGACGGCGGCGCTGTCGAAGGGCGTGGCCCTCTACCGCCGCCCTGAGCGCGCGCGCCGCCTTTTTCGCTTGGCGTTGGGCCGCCCCGTTTCGCCGATGTCGCCGTGGTTTTGCTGCCGCAGCCGTGGTTGTGAAGAGGCCTTCGCTGGCGTTCAGGGCCGCGCTGCGTTTCGGCGCGCTGCAGCTTGCGCCTTGTGGATTCGGCGTGGCGTGTGTGTGTGTGTGTGTGTGTGTGCGTTATATATATATATATATATATGGATATGTTTACGTATGCGTATGCGTATATATAGATGTATGGGTATGCATGCATGCATGTATATATGATTATTATATATGTATGCATACGTGTAGGTATGTGTATATGTATAGCTATATGTATATGTGCATATATACATATATATATATATGTATATACATATGTATATGCATATGTGTATGCATATATATATACAATTGTATATATGTATGTGTACATGTATGTATACATACATGTACATGTGTATGTGTATGCATACGTATACGTATATATATATAGATGTATATATGAGCATCTATAGGTATTTGTGCACAAATATGTATACATATATGTACATGCACGCTCATGTATACATTCATAGTTATGTAGATATATGTGTATGTGTAACTTTTGCGTGTGTATATACAACACCCAACATCGTTTCAGCAATATACAGACATTTCTATGTTTACCCATCGTATCTTGAATTTTAAGCCCCCAACTGTCTGACGCTCTTCGTATTCACAAGCCCCAGGGTAACGAAAGGCTGGGGGTACCTTGGGCCAGGGGCACCTTGCAGACTACATCGCGTGACCAGGGCCGCGTGCGGGGAGGTTCGAATGTCGAGGTTTGCTGGCGCTTCTGGCGGGTTTTAGGAAGATTTCCAGCTTCGGGATGCTTCTCAGCAGCTGCACTCCGCCGAGAGCGTTGTGGGGTGCGGGGGGGCATCTCGTGGCCAGGGCCATGACTTCTCCTCGATGTCATGGCCCCGCTTCCTCCTTTCGCCACGTTCCCTGGCTCCCGCGCCGTCCGCGCGCCCCCTCCGAGCCGCCGGGTGCCCCGCGATGTGGGGCACCGCTCCAGAGAAAGGGCTTCGCTTTCGTCGTGGCCTCGCCCTCGGCGCGGCATCGCCTCCAGCGGGAGCCGGCGCAACTCTGGCGGCGAGCGCCGGCGGGCGTCGGGCCCGCAGGCGGAAGCCGCCGGACGGTCGGCGGAAGGCGGCGGGACGTCGGTATGTCTGTCGGGGCTCAAGAGACGGGGGTCAATACAAACGGGGGTCAGCCAGAGCGCCGGATCTTGCAAGATCCTGCAGGGCTAGGGTCGCATTGACCGGGGTTTGGGTGCAGGATCCTGCAGGGTGCTGCAGGATCCTTCGCCCTGGCCCGGGTTTGGGTGCAGGATCTTGCAGGATTCTGTAAGGCCTGACTGGCCGGGTCTGGATTGACCCGGGTCAGAAGATCGGGGGCGGAAAAGAGGGGGGTGATGACTAGGGGGGGGTGGATATCATGGCGTGGGCCATGATATTTCCCCAGATTTCATGGCGCCTCTTCTTATTTCATTACGTCCCTGGCCCCCCCGCGGGGCCGCCCACATGCCGCCGGTCATGATTTGCACCCCCCCCTCTTGGACACCCCCCTCTTTGCCGCCCCCGAGAAGATCCCCGAATTTTGGATTTTGAGGGTTTGCGCACTCGCCCACATCTCCCAGAGCCGAGCCCCCTCGTTTTCACTTCCCTGGCCCCCCTTGCACCTTGCCCTCCTTGTTTCGACCCTCTCCCGCCCAGTCCACTTCGGGTTCCGGTGTGTCTTCCCCCCCCCCCCGATATCCGACGTGCGTTTCTTTTCCAACCGTCTTGTGTTGTTGGTTCTTCGTTTTGAAGAAACGGTTTCCGCGTTTCCTCCTCCCCGCCCCCCCCCCCCCCCCCCCAGTGGGGGTGGCCACATGCGTCCGCCACACCCAGTACAGCGTTTCGTGGCCCCATAGGGAGCTCCACGTAAGGCCCCAGTGGGGGTGGCCACATGCGTCCGCCACACCCAGTGCAGCGTTTCGTGGCCCCATAGGGAGCTCCACGTAAGGCCCCAGTGGGGGTGGGTGGCCACATGCGTGCGCCACACCCAGTGCAGCGTTTCGTGGCCCCATACGGAGCTCCACGTAAGGCCCCAGTGGGGGTGGGTGGCCACATGCGTCCGCCACACCCAGTACAGCGTTTCGTGGCCCCATAGGGAGCTCCACCCAATGCCCTAGTGGGGGTGGCCACATGCGTCCGCCACACCCAGTACAGCGCTTCGTGGCCCCATAGGGAGCTCCACGTAAGGCCCCAGTCGGGGTGGCCACATGCGTCCGGCACACCCAGCACAGCGTTTCGTGGCCCCATAGGGAGCTCCACCGAGGGCCCCAGTGGAGGTGGCCACATGCGTCCGCCACACCCAGTACAGCGCTTCGTGGCCCCAGAGGGAGCTCCATCCAATGCCCCAGTGGGGGTGGCCACATGCGTCCGCCACACCCAGTACAGCGTTTCGTGGTCCCATAGGGAGCTCCATGTAAGGCCCCAGTGGGGGTGGCCACATGCATCCCTCCCCCACCCATTACGGCACGTCCCTCACGCGGTTCGTGGCCCCATAGGGAGCTTCACCGAAAACGGCACCCACAACGCGCTACTCACAGTTGTACATGGTTGAGTCCTTCGCCAGGATAATTTGTCTGTTTTGTTTTCGCAATGCGGCTCCCCAGAGGTGTGGGCTTCTTCCCGGGGGCCCGCATTTCATACGGAGTAAACATTTGGCTGTCCCAGGACCAGGCGAGGGCTTCCAGAGGCCAGAAGATGTAGACTCTTTCAGCAGTTGTTCTCCACCACGCGAGGTGGTCAGGATCGTGTGGAGCCAAACTCTACGCAACGAGCTCGCCGTTGCCGCCTCCAGAAGGAAGCCCACATACGCACACACGCACCCCGTCGCTGCAGCGGCATGCCGATGAAGTGCTGCGTCGGGAAGGGGACGTCAGGGTTCCATCCCCCGACCCTCCTCCCTCTCCTTCGGCGTCACCCCAACATATTTCTACGAACTGCGCCGCCCCTGCAGGGGCGATGCGCGCACCGAGAAATCGTACAGTACACGCGTCGTGGCGGGCGCTTTCTGGCCACGCCGCTCGGGAGACGATATATACTACAAGATGGGTGTACTGTGTGTTGGGGTCGGACGCGCGCCTCCAAGGAGGGCGTTGTGTTAGCCTGTCTCTGTGCGTCCCCTCTCCTCTCCTCTCTTCCCTCTCCTTTCAGGAGGAAAAGAAACACACAGACACAATTAATCCTCGATTCCCCAGAAAATATGGGAAAATATGGGAAGTGGTTGGGAAGACAGAAACCCAGAAAATATAGGAAACCATGGGGAATATTTTTATGTGTGTGTATTTATTTGTGTGTCCTGGGGCCCCTTCATCCTTCCCCCCCTCGCTCTCGCCTCCAGGAGCAGAAGCGCGCGGGGAGAGGGCGTCGGGAGAGAGCGGGCGGCGCGGCGCGCTCGCGATTGGACAAGCCTTGTGTGGTGCTGCCATACTTCTGCATGCGCATGATCAGTAGTCAGTCGGGCCCGTCCCTCTACAGGAGGGATACTCAAACATAGTTAAGACATAGTGTGGGGGCGATTTTTCGACTGTGTTCGACCATTCTGGAGTAGTTTGTGATTATTTTCAATGTTTCGCCAGAAATCCCCCTGTGGGGGGCAGGCCCGACCTAACAGTAGTCCGTCTGGTTCAGAAGAGACCCGCAAGGGACGACGCGTCGGCCCGTCTTTGGCAACATGCTTGCGCCAGAGTGCTTCCATCGTCCAGCTTGGTTGTCTCAGTTTGCCACCATCGTCTGACCGACCCCTACCTCCATCTCGGTCCTCATCCAGACCCCCACCATCTTGGCACCCCAGCCGGGGACAGACCCCTCGAAGTCCAGAGGAGATGGCCGATGTCCCCATCCAGGCCCAGTAGGGCCAGTAGGGCCAGTAGGGCCCAGGCCACGCCGTTGGGGATCGGGGCGGAATGAACGATGCTCACTCGGGAGGCCCCAGCCTCGACGTCGTCCAGCGGCAAGTCGTGGGAGCCTCGCATGCCCAGCGTGGCATTGGCGTGCGCTGGCGTCTTGGCAGTCCAGTGGAAAGCGCCGATCTGGCGTCGACTGGCGCCGCTCTAGCGGCGCTCTCGCGCAGGTCGATCGTCGACCGACGATGCCCAATTTGATCGCAGCGTGGGCAGACCTGGCGCGGCGCTCGCGCGATTGGACAGACACCGCGCAGAGGCACTGCAGCCCGAGGTCGAGGCCCAGAGGCTCCTTGGGCGGCTGGGCAGCGGGGGCCATGGATCGGCTACACGTAAGAGTGACCTTTCGCCGGAGTGACCTTTGGTGCGGGCCCAACGGGGTCCCCCGATCGCCGAGCGCGCACCAAAGGTCACTCTTACCCAGGGTCACTCTTGCGTGTAGTCGAATGGAGGACCCTACCGCTCGCAGGCCCCGAGGTTGACACCAGCACCAGTATCGGCGGTGTGCCTCCACCGAGGGAAGAAGATCCCGCTCTCGGTGATGGTGGTATTATTCTGGCTTCCAGGCTGACCGAAGTATTGCCACCAACACCGAAATCTAGGATCACTGTGCCCCTGTGGAGGCAACCCCCTGTGTTGGTGTCGGTGCCCACTTCCAGGCCTCCAATGTTGGTGGGACGGGCGGGACATCAAAATCATGACATCAGGTCGTGTCGGCCGGGCGGACCCTGACGGGCTGGGCGGGCTGACCCTCGCGGGCGGGTAGGTCGGGCGGGCGGACCGCCCTTGGAGGACCCCTGGCCCTTCATGTTTGCTTCGGACGTCTCCGTGGTGTCGTGGATTCCCGTCGGTTTCAGCCTCAGCAAGGCTGCCGGCCACGCGCAGAGGGAGGGGGGAAGGCTTCTTAGAAACGCCCTGCTGCTCGGAAGGCGCAGGCCTTACCCTATGGATGCAAGTCTGGCGCCTTCTGAGAAGCAGCCTCCTAAGAAGCCTCCCCTCCCCCTACACCCTTGTGCGCGCCGTCGATACTGGACGGCGACGGCGGCCGTTCCCCTCGGGGGCGTCCGTGGAGTTGCGGTTTCACCATCGGGCGGGCCCGTCGGCGGTTTGTCGGCGATTCATCGCCGATTCCAGGTCACTGCTCCCCTCCCCCGGGGACACTTCCCCGGGAGCACCTTTTTCATCCCGACCTCTCTTCGTGCTCACGGCCCCGCGGCCAGACTTTTCCCCACGACGTGGGGAGGTCTGGGCACTCCCGCCAGCGCCGTCGCCGGCACCCGGGCTCGGCCGCTCCCGGGCCGCAGGCGGCGTCAAACCTTGCACCCCTGCGCCGGGGCCGCTGCCGCGTCCACGCGGCGGGTCGTCTGTCAGCCGCGCGCAGGGGAGGGTCCCGGGGTGGGGGTAGGGGGTAGGGCTTCTTAGGAGCACCCCTGCTTCTCAGAAGGCGCGGGCCGCCTCTGCAGATGTGAGGCCGGCGCCCTCCAAGCAGCGGCCTCCTCCCAAGAGGCCCTCCCCCTCCCTCCGCCCCCTTGTGCGCGCCGCCGAGCCTGGCCCGGCCCAGGTGGACCCCGACGCCGTGTGGTTCCCGAAGCGCCTGCGCATCCGCCCCCGGCTCGGGCCGAGGAGGAGGAGGAGGAGGAGGAGGAGGAGGAGGAGGAGGAGGAGGAGGGGGAGGAGGGGGAGGAGGAGGAGGAGGAGGGGGGAGGAGGGGGAGGAGGGGGAGGAGGGGGAGGAGGAGGAGGGGGAGGAGGAGGAGGGAGGAGGAGGAGGAGGAGGAGGGGAGGAGGAGGAGGAGGAGGAGGAGGAGGAGGAGGAGGAGGAGGAGGAGGCGGAGGCGGAGGCGGAGGAGGAGGAGGAGGAGGAGCAGGAGGCGGTGCGGCAGGCCCGCGCTCGGCCGCCGCTCGGTCCGCACAGCGCGGCGCCCTCGCGCGCGCCGGCGGTACTCGGCAGTCCGAGGCGGGGCTTCGTGCATGAGCACCGCCCGGAGGGTCCGTTTTCGGAGCCTCGGCAGGCGGTGGATGTGGACACACTGCGAAGGCCTTAGTTAGGCCGGTGCCGCCGACCCCGAGTGGCGACGACGACGACGACGGGCGCTCTAGGGTGCCTCCTGGGGGTAGTTCGGGGGCCTCTCGGGAAGCTCTTAGGGGACCGCCTGGAAGCCTCGCGGGGGCCTCTTGGAGCTTCCTGGGGGTCTCTTGGGGGCTTCTCGGTTTTCGGAGCCTCGGCAGGCGGTTGATATGGACATCTTCGTCTGGAGGTCGGGGAGGGGTGTGGCGTAAAGGGGTATGTTGACAATTGTGGAAATGGCGATGCTGTCTGCGATAGGTAACATCGCCAGAGCCCCCTTTACATGACATTAGCATCACACACTTTTATGCCATAACCCATTCCTACCTCTAGAATTCGGGCCCCCGGGGGCCGAAATACATCCATATCCACCGACCACTGGGGTACCAGGACGTCGGTTCCCAGGCGGTGGATATGGATAAGTCCCCGCCTTGCAGGTAGCAAAGTACGGGAGCCTTGTATAATGTACCCTCGCAACTCCGTCTCCAGAGTGCGTTGGCGTCGATTAGCGTCTGGTAGTCGATGAGATAGCGTCGACAGAGCGTCGATTAGCGTCGCTGGGCGTCGACTTACCGTCGGTTGGCGTCAATTAGCGTCGATTTCGTAAGAGCCAACAGGACGGCAGAGAAGGCTCCCATGAGTCTCCGCAGAAGCTTGGGGACCTCTGTCTCGCGAGAATCATTTTGTGAAGGCAGACTAGCCTTCGGCATTTTCTATGATCTAGGCCTCCCAGATGGGGTCAGAGTTGACGGATTCGGAAGATCTCGCCGCATCGCGGCAATGCGGCTCGATGTGTAGCCCGATTTCCTCCACGCCGACGTCGCCGATGCATCGACGATGCAGTGCTATCCTGCGACCCCACCTGCTCCGATACTAACTCTGTCTTTCAAGCTGTGGACAATCTCTTTGAAGGCAGATCCGTCTTCAGCACTGCCGTTGCGGTGCTGGAGTTAATTCATATCAACGTGGATCTTGCTACCGGCTTCCTCGTGGATTAACTCTTGAGTTAATCCACAGGGAAGCGGAGCCACGAGCCAGCCTCGCCCTCCTGGCTTACTCCAGAGTCAATCCACGGGGGAGGGGTGGATCAAGGCACCGCCCTGGGCCCCGTCAATTAACTCTGGAGTTAATCCACAGGGGAGGGGTGCATCAGGGCGCCGCCATGAGCCCCGTGAATTAATTCCAGAGTTACTCTACGGGGGAGGGGTGGATCAGAGGTCGCCTGGGGCGCCTCCAGGCGGCCTCTCAGAGGCCATCCAGGAGGCCTCTGAGAGGTGCCGCCCTGGGCCCCGTGAGTTAACACCCGAGTTAATCCACGGGGGAGGGGTGGCTCAGGGCGCCGCCCACGGCCCCGTGCATTAACTCCGGAGTTAATCCACGGGGGAGGGGTGGCTCAGGGCGCCGCCCACGGCCCCGTGAATGAACTCCGGAGTGAATGCACGGGGGAGGGGTGGATGCAGGCGCCGCCTGGGCCCCCTCCAGGCGGCCTCTCAGAAGCCCTCCGGGAGGCCTTTGAGAGGCGCCGCCCTGGGCCCCGTGAGTTAACTCCGGAGTTAATCCTGGGGAGCCTCCAGGCGGCCTCTCGGGGGCCCCTCTGAGAGGCGTCCTGGAGAACCTCCTGGAGGGCCTTTGAGAGGCCGCCTGGAGGCGCCCCAGGCGGCCTCTGATACACCCCTCCCCCGTGGATTAACTCCGGCATTGATTCACGGGGCCCAGGCGGCGCCCTGAGCCACCCCTCCCCCGTGGATTAACTCCAGAGTTGATTCACGGGGCCCAGGGCGGCACCTCTCGGAGGCCTCCTGGAGGGCCTCTGAGAGGCCGCCTGGAGGCGCCCCAGGCGACCTCGGATCCACCCCTCCCCCGTGGATTAACTCTGGAGTTAATTCGCGGGGCTCCGGAGTTAATTCATGGGGCTCAGGGCGGCGCCCTGATCCACCCCTCCCCCGTGGATTAACTCCAAAGTTCATTCACGGGGCCCATGGCGCCTAGATCCACCCCTGTCCCGTGGATTAGTTCCGGAGTCAACTCACGGGGCCCAGGGCGCCCTGATCCACCCCTCCACCGTGGATTAACTCCGGAAATCATTCACGGGGCTCAGGGCGGCGCCTTGATCCACCCTTCCCTCGTGGATTAACTCCGGAGTTGATTCGCGGGGCCCAGGGCGGCGTCCTGATCCACCCCTCCCCCGTGGATTAGTTCCCGAATTTATTCACGGGGGCCAGGTCGACGGGAGAGGAAAATGTGTGGACAGAGAAGGGAGAACGGGCCGCTCAAATACGCGCGCACCTCTGCCGGCCCGCCCGCGGATCAACTCCGGAGTTAATTCGCGGGGCCTTCGAGGACCCCCAGAAACCGAACCCCGAACACAACAACCCGAAGCCCGAACACCGAGCCAGACAACCAAAACCCGAAACCAGAAGCCCGAACAACCGCAGCCCGAAAACAAGACCCCAAACTTCGACAACGAAAGCCCGATGGCCGAATCGCGAAACAATCCGAAACCGAAGCTCGAAACGATCAGAAGCCGAAGCTTCTGGCGTTTTTGTTTAGTTTTTTGTTTGTTTGTTTGTTTTCTCTCTGGTTGCTGTGTTTACAGGTTTTCACTTGGTGTTATGGTTTCGCTCCGTTGTCTCTTATTGATTTCAGATTTCCGTTTTCGGGCTTCCGATGGTTTCGAGTTTCGGCTTCGGTATGTCTTGATTTTTTTGATGTGTGTGTGTGTGTCTTTGTGTCTGGTATCCGGTGATCTGGTTTTCTGCTTGTATGGAGTTCTCGCCGTCGGATTGTTTTGAGTTGCTTATTTTTATAACATGGTTTTCGAGTGGCTTTCGTTTTTCCGTTGTCCCGAGAGCGTTCGGGGGGGAGGCAGACGGCCACGGCCGAGAAGGGCGGCGCCCCTCATGCTAAGCCAGGATGCTGCGCGAGCCACCTGGTCTCCCCCATCCAGGTGGCCTGACACCGCAGGGGGAAGTGGCGGGCGAGCTGGAGCGCAACAGGTCGCTGCTGCCGCTGCCGCTGCCAGCCTGGTGCAGGGCCTCGGGCCGCCGCCCGACGGGGCGCCGTGGGCGCGGTCGCGCAGCCGGGCAGGATCGCCAGGCGGTTCTGCTCCGCGAGCTGATTGAGACCCTGAACCAGACGGATGCCGGAGAGGATGAGTTGCGTCGCCGGCCTTTGGATGCCCCATGCCGTATGCAGGAGCTAGCGCTGGCTCACCTCGCCGACTGTCGCGCAAAGTTCGGCGGCCCTCCACCTGATCTGACGGCCGACGCAGCCCTCCGGGAGCTTGCGGGTCAGTTCGGCTCATGGGGGCGATGAGCCCCAGGCGCTTGCACCCTTGAGTTTCGACTTCGTCTCGCTCCCCCAGACGGGCGCGCAGCCGCGGCCTCTCGAGGAACTTCTCCCTCCCTCCTCCCTCCTCCTCCCTCCTCCCTCCTCCCTCCTCCCTCCTCCCTCCTCCTCCTCCTCCTCCTCCTCCTCCTCCTCCTCCTCCTCCTCCTCCTCCTCCTCTTTTCGAAGCTTTCCTCGGCAGCAAGGTCCTGCCAGGTCGGCTTGCTGCGGCGCGAAAGACTAGTGCGAGTTTTTTCGAGGCCCTGCCTCGACCCCGTCCTTCGTCGGCCATCCCGTCGGGCTCAATTCGTCGGATATTGCAGGCTGGCGCGCGCGATCTGGCCCCAGACTCGGTCGATGTGCGCGAGGAGGTTGGCGTTTTCGCGGCGTGGAGAAATCATGGCAGACAGAGATTCGTTGTCGACTGCACGTCGAGCAACTGTAATTTTGGGGGCTCCGAACGTGTGGATCTCGCGTCGGGTGCCAGTCTTGCTTGTTTAAAGCTCCCGGAGTTCGAGGGCCCTTGGGCCTCGGGCGTGGATATTCGGGATGCATTTTGCAGCGCGGGGCTCCCCCTGGTTCTCTGAACATTCTTCTCGCTCCCGCGTGTCGGGGCTGGGGATGTCGGAATCTCTGAGCTTCAGGGGCTTTCGGTTGGGCCGCGCGAGTGGGTGGGGCCGCGGTTCGCTGTGCTGCCTATGGGATGGTCTCACGCCTTGGCTTTTTGTCAGAGAGTGCACGAACATATTTTGAGAGCGCTCGCAGGCCTGGGGGATGAGGACCGTCTGGTCGACGGCCGCGTTCTCTCCCGTTGGCCTCGGAGGTCCATCTTGCATGCGTGGACATTTCTGTAGGCTTCGCCGCCTCCGCCGAGCGGGCCAACGAGCTCCTCTCCCTTTGCGACGGAGTCGCTTTCCCAGGCGGGCCCCTCCCTCCACCCTGGCATCGCTCGGACGCGTGCGTTTTTTCTCGGCGAGAACCATCGAGGACCATCCTGGACCATCGAGCAGAAAAAAACACGCACGAAACCGACAAATGCACGGGAAATGAGCGACGGCAAGCCACGAGCCCGATGATGCCTCGGGGTCCCTGGAGAGCCCCGGCTGGGCATTTGCCAGCGAGGGCGGGACGGCGCGACCCGAGTCTCGGAGCATTCGGCGCTTGAGGGCCTCGGCGCTCTTGCGCTGCTTGCCGTGGGCGTGGCCGCAGG